AGTCTGTTTCCAACATATCGTGAGCAATTTAAACGCAACCCATCTTTATTCAAAAAGTGATACATTTTGACAAAAAAATTGGAAATACTCACAAACTATATAATTTTTTATACCCTTTACCACACTGTGGTACAGGGTATTATGTCTTTGTGCATATGTTTGTAACAGGCAAAAGGAAACGAGATAGACACATGAGAATATGCATAGAATAACTTTCTGAGTCGATTTATGCATGTCCGTCTGTCCGTCCCTCCGTCTGTAGATGTTAAATTGTAAACAAAGTACAGGTCGCATTTATGATCCGATTTGGATGAAATTTGGCACAAGTCTCTTATTTGGCCAAAGGACGAACCAAATTGAAATTGGGAAAAATCGGTTTAGATTTAGATATAGCTTCCATATATATTTTCGTCCGATTTATAGTAAATGGGGCACCAAAGTCCCTATATATCTTTCGATTTACACGAAATTTGGCACAGGGTACTGAATTATGTCCAGAATAATGTGTGCCAAATTTCAGGAAAATCGGGTCAGATTTATATATAACTCCCATATATATTTTCGTCCGATTTAAGGTAAATGGGTCTCGAAAGTCTATATATATTTTTCGATTTGCACGAAATGCGGCATAGAGTACTAAATTTTGTCCAGAATGATGTGTGCTAAGTTCAGATTTAGATATAGCTCCAATATATATTTTCGTCCGATTTTATGTAAATGGTGTACATATTGTGCGATTTGCAAAACATAGAAATTCATATAAATTAATTCCGGGCCTGTTTCCTTGAAATCGGTACAGATGTAGGTATAGCCTCGCACACAATTTTGTACAATGTACTGATGTTGACGATGGTTCAGATTTACATATAGCTCCTATATATACTTTCGTCCGATTTTATGTAAATGGTGTACTAAAGACTCTTAGCTAGGCCGATTTGCAAAACATACTGAAATGTATATAAATTAATTCCGGGAATGTTTCCTTGAAATCGGTTCAGATGTAGATTTAGCATAGCTTCCATATATAAATTCGACATATTCATGTTGATTGTAAACGAAATAATCAATATGTGTGTGATTGATATTACATTTTAAACAGTGAGGTATACCAGATAGCGTGCGTATTGTTTGATTAAAATCTATTTACAAAATATGGAATACATTGCAGAATGACATGTGTAAGGATTGACTTATACTGATAAAGATCGCATTTTTAAGAATATATAACCACAGAAAGTTAGATTTTCGTGGAAATTTTTTAATTTTGCTTCACTGGTTTAATTTTGCTTTTCGAATTCGAAATAATTGTTATATTTTCATTCTCCACTTTTTCCTACTCAAATATGTTTGGAAACCATTTCGGAATTAAAAACACATCGTAAACTTCTTTAAAATATTACAATAATATCATGATAATGTCTCATTGGAACCTATAATACCATTTCAATAGCACAAATTTATCATAACGACATTCTCATTCCAAATAATGTTCATATTTTCCAATTAAAATTGTATACAAAATGTTAAACACACTTTGCAGGCCTTAAAATTCAATTTCCAAATCGTCTTAAATTTCAAAGCGAAATTGTAGACGTAATAGCATTTGGGTGAAACCCACCATGTTTGTAAACGATTGGAATGATTACACCCAGAATTTGATTTTGGAATTTGAGAATTTTTACATTTATTTGGCATGTGTTAACAAACTATTACAGACATTTATGCTTGGTAAATATTTTCAAATAAATAATTCCCAAAGGATGTTTCGAAACACTTCGAACATACATATGTATGTGTAGATGGTAAAGGCTGAGTGAAATGTTTAGTCAGCTGGAATTTGAATTACATTTGGATATGGTTTGTTATTAATTAACAATAACAATACAGGAATATTTTTAATTGTTATAAGTAGATTATTTATGAAATATATAAATTGTAATACATACATACATATAAATATTACAAGTATTTGTGTTATATATACTTCACTTTAAACACTAATTACGTTATATAATATGCTTTAGTTTGGTAATTAATTTCATTGCTTAAATTGAAGCATCGGGAATTAAAGCGAAAATATAAGAATTTCAACATACCAAAAATTAAGCGGAAACATTTTCTGGGAGCCTATTTAGAAATTTTTGTATTCGACAAATCAGGAATACTAAATTACATCCACTTTGGATGGAAAATACGGTAAAAACATGAAAATACCGTAAATGGAGCAGGACCTTTATATAGGGGCAATGTTAAAACATGATGCTACATTGTAGAAAACTTTGTTATACCCTTCACCAAACTGTGGTACAGGTTATAATGTCTTTGTGCATATGTTGGTTCCTTTTGAGAATATGCATAGAATCACTTTCTGAGTCGATATATGCATGTCCGTCCATCCATCTGTCTGTCTGTCCCTCCATGTATTTTTGTGAACAAAGTACATGTGGCATTTTTGATCCGATTTGGATAAAATTTGGCACTTGTCAATTATTTGGCCCAAGGACGAACCCTATTGATGTGTACAAAGTTTAGTTGAAATCGATTCAAATTTAGATATAGCTCCCATATATAGTTTCATCCAATTTTAGGTAAATGTTGCACCAGTATTTGACCAATTGAGACAATATTTTGCACAGCATACTGAATTAAGTCTAGTTTGATGTGTGTGAAGTTTTGTTGAAATCGGTTTAGATTGACATATATGTTCCATATAAAATTTTGCCAGATTTCATACAAATGTTACACCAACAATTCAAGTCTGTACGATATAAATGTAATTTTTTATAGACTTCAGAATGGTTTTTTATTGGTTCAAATATCTATGTAGATCACATTTGTTTTTCACCCGATTCCATGTCAATGGTCTTTCAAAGATGTTACGTCTCTTCTATAAACAGAATATTGTACCCATTATCATCTCTTGTATGTAACCAATGTTGTGAAGGCTATCATATAGTCGGCCCCGTCCGACCTTAGAACTTTCCTTACTGGTTTTTGTTTGTTTTTCCGATCGCTAGGCTGTGCGAAAGATAGGGACTGACCATAGAATAAACATGACTGTTTTCACGAAGATCGGTCAATATTTAGCGGGTCTATTGGACTCAGACTTTTGTGTGCAAAATGACAGAATTCCTGTCGTATATATTTACTACAGAAGTTGATAGTATTAGTATATACTAGGAGTGGCTTACGTTTAAATTGTTGTTGTATGTACTCGGATGTGGGAAACATACGTAAATGTTTACAGATGTCTACCTATATGATATTGTTCAGAATTACCATTACCACACTCGAGGGCGGTAAGACGTCTATAATATTCGGTGATCAGATATACGGTATGAAGTGGACCGAAAGCTTTATGTTTTCAGGTTTGCACATCACAAATTTTACAAGGATATGGAAACTTGACCAAATAATTAAAATGGCTTACAAAATGTTAAAACATAATGATTCTGCTGTACCTATATAACTTTTCCACGCTTATGACCTAATGTTCTTTAAAAAAATATTCTTAAATAAATAAATAGACTATAAACTCAGATAGACGTTGATGATATAATAATAAACCAGTAAGGGTATATCCTACATATGTATCCTAACAGAGGACGCGTTTTTGTTATATATTTATATCTGAATCGATTTCAGGGAAACTTGCTAGAGACAAATTTATATTACATCAGTACGTTGTGTCAATCGGCCTAGCTATGAATCTTTTCACGAAGCTTAGCAACATCATTTTAGACTTAATTCAGTACCCTTTACCAAAATTCGTGCAAATCGAAAGATATATAGGGTCTTTGGTGCACCAATTACCATAAAGCGGATGAAAATATATATGGGAGCTATATGTAAATCTGAACCGATTTTCACGAAACTTGGCAGACATCATTATCGATTTTATCCATTACTCTGTGCCAAAATTCGTGCAAATGAAAAGATTTCTAGGGACTTTAAAGGACTATTTACCTAAAATCGGGCGAAATTATATATGGGAGCTATATCTAAATCTGAACCGATTTTTACGAAACTTTGCACACATCATTGTAGACTTAATTTAGTACGCTGTGCCCAAATCAAAAAATATATAGGGACTTTGGTACACAATTTACCTTAAATCGGACGAAGATATATATGGGAGCTATATCTAAATCTGAACCGATATTCACGAATCTTTTTACACATCATTCTAGACTTAATTTAGTACGCTGTGCCAAATTCCGTGCAAATCGAAAGATATATAGGGACTTTGGTGCACCATTTACCTTAAATCGGGCGAAATTATATATGGGAGCTATATCTAAATCTGATCCGATTTTTCCCAATTTCAATAGGGTTCGTCCTTGGGCCAAACAAATGCGCTGTGCCAAATTTCACCCAATTCGGATCATAAATGCGACCTGTACTTTGTTTACAATTTAACATGGACAGACGGACGGACGGACATGCATAAATCGACTCAGAAAGTGATTCTATGCATATTCTCAAAAGGAACCATGGGTCTATCTCGATTATTTTTGCCTGTTACAAACATATGCACAAAGATAAAATACCCTGTACCACAGTGTGGTGAAGGGTATAAAAATCCAAGCAGCTTGTGACTCCTAAAATGTTTATTAAAAATCCTTTCTTCTGATTTTGATGGTACTAAACAAATATTTTTTTAAAAATTCTCTTACAGTGCTTCACAAAATGTTATGAAAAATCCACCCTTATTGCTCTCATTGTCCGTAATAAAGAATTCATTAAAATGTCACTATTGTGGCTCTGATAGTTCTTGATAAAACAATCTTTACAAGTTCATTAAATTAACATAAAAATATTTCTTGACTCTTAAAAAAATACCCCTGTGATTTTTGACAGCATAGAAAATATACAAATAGAATTTATTATTTAATGTTTATTGTAATACTAAAAGTAGCAGGTAAAAAAGTATATGTCTTGAAGAGAAGGTAAGAAAAGGGAATAGAAATGCTTAAATATGTGAAATAGATTTTTTCTTATTATTCGGGCATTGGACAGCTTTTATTGTTGTTTAACTTCAGCTTCTTAACCAAAGCCTCCAAACGTTTTTCATCAACCAAGCCAATGAATTTGTCCACAATTACGCCATTACAGAACGCCAATACAGCAGGCACAGCCTTTACATCAAATGTTTCAACCAAATCTTGATTCTGTTCAACATCTACAATAGCCAGATCGATGTGTTTGGATTTTTCGGTCAGAGCATTTAAAATTGGCGTTAGAATATGACAGGGTTCACACCATTCCGCATGGAAGTCGACAATTACCGGTTGGCCATTATTGATTACCTGGATAATAACAGAACATATTTTAAAACATTTTATTTATATTTTTTATTTCAATTAGTATTTTATTTAGATCTTTAAAAAATATTAAACTAAAAAATTCTTACCAACTGATCGAATTGCTCATGATCATTTACGGCGTATTTCTTCCACACAACTGGATCCTGCGAGAAAGTTCTTTTGGTTGAAGCAAAGACACCTGGCCCCACAACACGAAGATTTTGTGCAATGGATGATTTGACAAAAGAGCTTAGAGTTGATATCAAACTTGATTTTATTATTTGTAGCATAATTAGACTGCGACGTCAACTGCAAGCAGAGAGTAAACGTTAATTTTTTTCAAACTCACAAAGATTAAATTCGAACTTACTTTCAATATTCCGTTATTAACTTGAAAACACTTTGCCCGGATAATAATTCAATGTTCCTTTCACTTCGATGATTTATTGAAAACTGAATGACACATTCGGTTGGGAAACGTTATTTGTAGACAGCTGTAAATTTCAAATGTGGCATTTCATGGTGGTGGTATTGTTGTAGGATATCCTACTACCTGCGTGACTAAGTAAACACAGATTTTTGTTGTCAGCTTGTGTGGAATACCACCAACACAGGGTAAATTTTTCTTTCCTCTGATAGGACACACACGCTAACAGATTCCTAAACACACACACACACACTTCACACGTCTCCCTGCATAAGGATTGACAAATAAACACTAGGTACCGTACCCTACACTACCCTACTTAAACCTAATATGGGCAATGTATGCACGTGGAAAACAGACAAAAGTATTTATAGGGAAAATGCTAATTATTTTTGGTTTCCAGTCAATGGTTAACAGATGGTGATTCTGAAATCATTTGGAACTGAGTTTGTTTGTTTTTTCGGGAGAGAGTGAAATAAACAACATAGCGCAGTGGGAAAATTATATAATAAAATAAACACAAAAATACAGTTGAACCTACTACAAACATTTTATTTTACACACGAGTAATATCCACATGTAAGGAATAGTTTTTAACCAAGAATTTTTTAGAGATATTATATATTTATGTCAAACTAGATGCCCATTTTTCACCAAAGTGTCTTTGATGACTTAAATTCTAGGTTTAGATTCCCACCTATCCATATCCGTGGACTTACAAAGCGGGAGCCGTGTTCGATTGGTTTTCTTGGATCGCAATTTTTATACCCTTCACCACAGGGTATTATGTCTTTGTGCATATGTTTGTAACAGGCAAAAATAATCGAAATAGACTTTCAGAGTCGATTTATGCATGTCCGTCTGTCTGTCCATGTTAAATTGTAAACAAGGTACAGGTCGCATTTATGATCCAAATTGGATGAAATTTGGCACAGCTCATTTGTTTGGCCCAATGACGAACCCTATTGAAATTGGGAAAAATCGGTTTAGATTTAGATATAGCTCTCACATATATTTTCGTCCGATTTAAGGTACCAAAGTCCCTATATATCTTTCGATTTGCACGAAATTTGGCATAGCGTACTGCATTAATTGTAGAATGATGTGTGCAGGATTTCGTGAAAATCGGTTTAGATTTAGATATAGCTCCCATATATATATTTGCCCGATTTTAGGTAAATAGTCCTCTAAAGTCCCTATATATCTTTCGATTTGCACGAAATTTGGCACAGCGTAATGACTAAGGTCTAGAATGATGTGTGTTAAGTTTCGTGAAAATCGGTTCAGATTTAGATATAGCTCCCATATATAGATTCGCCCGATTTTAGGTAAAATGTCCTCTAAAGTCCCTATATATCCTTCGATTTGCACGAAATTTGGCACAGCGTAATGACTAATGTCTAGAATGATGTGTGCAGAGTTTCGTGAAAATCGGTGCAGATTTAGATATAGCTCCCATATATCTCTCCGTCCGATTTAAGGTAAATGGTGTACCAAAGTCCCTATATATCTTTCGATTTGCACGAAATTTGGCATAGCGTACTGCATTAAGTGTAGAATAATGTGTGCAGGGTTTCGTGAAAATCGGTTCAGATTTAGATATAGCTCCCATATATTCATCCGATTTAGATATAGATTTAAGGTAATTTGTGCATCTTTCGATTTGCACGAAATTTGGCATAGCGTACTGAATTGCGTTTGTAATAATGTGTGCTAAGTTTCATGAAAATCGGTTCAGATTTAGATGTAGTTCCCATGTATATTTTCGTCCGATTTTATGTAATTGGTGCACCAAAGTCCCTATATATCTTTCGATTTGCACGAATTTTGGTATAGGGTACTAAATTAAGTCTATAATGATGTTGCTAGGCCGATTGACACAACGTACTGAAGTAATATAAATTAGTCTCTGGCAAGTTTCCCTGAAATCGGTTCAGATATAAATATATAACAAACACGTACCTCTGCTATGATAAATATGTAGAATATACCCAAAGTGGTGAAAGGTATCATAAAGTCGGCCAGTCCGACTTTACTACTTTCCTTACTGGTTTCTTCTGAGTTCTTAGAAAACAGTTCCCTTGACTACTTCACAAAAAAAGTGAATCTGCCACATCCACATATCGTGAATTAAGAGGAGATTATGGTTTACATACTACAACTACGCAAGCAATTGACAAAATTCTGTAAAAATTTCTTGTGATTGGAATGGTTACAAAGGCCTGTGAATTAGCTTCGTCGATTCCTCGTTCTCGGGAACTAGGATTGTCTTACGGCACAGCGACGAAGCACATATCTTTATATAGAACAGACATGCCGTATTTAGAGGACCTTTGGAATGAAATCGGGCGAAAATAAATGCCTGATATACATAGATATTTGAATCTATTAAAAACCCCCATACACATACCATTCTGAAATCTATGAAAAAGTCCATGTACGAATCAAAGCAAAATTATGTATGTATGAAAATTCGGACCAAATTGAGCTCCCGATGTTGTTGTCTCAGTCGGACAAATATTGGGAGTTTGGTGTATCATTTACCTATAATCGGATGAAGCTATTTACGGGAGCTATATCTGAATCTGCACCGATTTCAACAAAACTTCAAAGACATCAATCTGAACCTATTTCAGTGCGCTGAGCAAACATCTGTTTCAATCCGACAAATATTGGGAGTTTGGACGAAACTACATATGGGATCTATATCTGAATTACAATTACAGCAAAACTTCACAGACATTAAACTGGACCTAATTCAGTTAACTGTGCAAAATGTTGTCTCGATTGGACAAATATTGGGTGTTTGGAGCACCACTTAGATAAAATCGGTCGAAACTATATATGCGAGCTATGTTTAAATCTGAACCGATTTTCACGAAACTCAGCACACATTATTCTGGACCTAATTCAGTACCCTACGCCAAACATCGTGCAAATGGAAAGATATATAGGTACTTTGGGGCCCCATTAGCCTTAATTTGGAAGAAAATATATAAGGGAGCTATATATAAATCTGACCCGATTTTCCCGAAACTCGACACACGTCATTCTAGACTCCAGTCCGTACACTACGCAAATTACGTGCAAAACGAAAGATATATTGGGTCTTTGATGCACAATTTACATCAAATCGGACGAAAATATATATGGGAGCTATATCTATATCTGAACCGATTTTCACGAAACTTACCACACATTATTCTGGACCTATTTCAGTACCCTACGCCAAATATCGTGCAAATGGAATGATATATAGGGACTTTGGGCCCCATTTACCTTAAATCGGACGAAAATATATATGGGACCTATATATAAATCTGACCAGATTTTCTCGAAACTTGACACACGTCATTCTAGTCTCCAGTCCATACACCATGAAAAATTACGTGCAAAACGAAAGATATATAGGGTCTTTGGTGCACCATTTACATAAAATCGGACGAAAATATATATATGGGAGCTATATCTATATCTGAACTGATTTTTGGGGCCCCATTAGCCTTAAACCGGAAAAAAGTACATAAGGGAGCTATATATAAATCTGGCCCGATTTTCTCAAAACTCGACACACGTCATTTTAGACTGCAGTCCGTACACTATGCAAAATTACGTGCAAAACGAATGATATATTGGGTCTTTGATGCACCATTTACATAAAATCGGACGAAAATATATATGGGAGCTATATCTATATCTGAACCGATTTTCACGAAACTTAGCACACATTATTCTGGACCTATTTCAGTACCCTACGCCAAATATCGTGCAAATGGAATGATATATAGGGACTTTCCCCCCATTTCCCTTAAATCGGACGACAAAATATATGGGAGCTATATATAAATCTGACCAGATTTTCTCGAAACTTGACACACGTTATTCTAGACTCATTTCAGTACACTATGCAAAATTTCGTTCAAATCGGAAGATATATAGGGACTTCGGTCACCATTTACATAAAATCGGACGAAACTATATATGAGAGCTATATCGAAATCTGAACCGATTTTCTGCAATTTCAACAGGGTTCGTCCTTGAGCCAAATAAGTGACTTGTGCCAAATTTCCAAATCGGATTATAAATGCGACCTGTACTTTGTTTACAATTTAACATCTACAGATGGGCAGACGGACGGACGGGCATTCATAAATCAACTCAGAAAGTGATTCTATGCATAAAATGAACCTTGTGTCTATCTCGTTTCCTTTTGCCTGTTACAAAGATATGCTCAAAGACATAATACCCTATACCACGGTGTGGTGAAGGGTATATAAATATATTATTAAGACAATAATTTATATGTATCGAAAAAACAACGAATATCTGGAGAATGGGGTGTGGGTTTATAATAAAATGTCTGAGACCCATAGGTGTAATTTTTTGCATGGATGATTGTTAAACATCGTCCTAGATTTTACTTATACGTAAAACGTAATTTATACTATCCTGGAATATAAAAATATTGACCCTTTAATGTGTCCCCTCTGCAAGAGTACCAGAAGTCTTTGGCCTACGGAAATTTGATGTAATTTCAACTTCTTCAACTTAAATTTAATTTTCTGCTCAAAAAATTAATTGAACTTAATTATAAACTTGCAAACATTTTTCATTGTGAAATCTTTCATCACAATCTTCCACGTACATCTTTCGGACACACACATCCTTTCATTATTTCGTTCCGGTTGTACACTTCAGTTCAATGACATCCGTTTTGCGACACCTGAACAAACAATGACATGTTGTAGGCAAATTTTATAAAGTTAACATTTATCAACACATGCTGCAGTTATCCTTGTACACAGTGAAGGGATTTCTGTCCTTAAATATACGGATGCATAAAGCAATTACAACCTGGAATGG